TGGCCATTCTTGCTTCCAAGGAGCATTCCGGCTGCACGTCTTCCAGGACAGATTAGTTCCCTCTTCTGGCAGTCCATGGTACTTTTAGTATTCTTCCCCAATACCACAACTCAAAAACATCAATTCTTCTTCGATCTTCCTTATTCATTGTCCAGCTCTCACATGTATATGAGGAGATTGAAAACACCATGGCTTGGGTTAGGTGCACCTTAGTCTTTTCGCTCTTTAGCACTTTAAAGAGGTCTTTTTTGCTGTAGATTTTCCCGGTGCGACATGCCATCCGATTTCTTGACTGCTGCTTCCATGGGTGTTGATTGTGGAACCAAGTAATATGAAATCTTTGACAACTTCAATCTTTTCTCCATTTATTGTGATGCTGCTTATTGGTCAAGTTGTGAGGATTTTTGCTTTGTTTATGTTGAGATGTAATCTGTACTGCAGTCTGTAGTCTTTAATCTTCATCAGTAAAGACTTCAACTTATCTTCACTTTCAGCAAGCAAGGTTGTATCATCTGCATATCGCAGGTTGTTAATGAGTCTTCCTCTAATCCTAATGCCGCGTTCTTCTTCATATAGTCCAGTTTCTCAGATTAGTTGCTCAGCATACAGATTGAATAAACGTGGTGAAAGGATATAACCCTGACACACTCCCTTCCTGATTTTAAACATGGGGGACATGCAGTGTCCCCTTATTCTCTTTGAACAACAGCCTCCTGGTCTCTGTATAGGTTCCTCAAGAGCACAATCAAGTGTTCTAGAAGGAATTCCCATTCTTCTCAATGTTATCCATAATTTGTTATGATCCACACAATCAAATGCTTTTGTATAGTCAATAAAACACAAGTAAACATCTTTCTGGTATTCTTTGCTTTCAGCCAAGATCTGACATCAGCAATGATATCCCTCATAACATATCCTCTTCTAAATCCAAACCTAAAGCCCTTTTATCTTGCATTTCTGAAAGTTCTCTGTCAAGATACTGCTGCAACTGTTTTTGAATTATTGATATAGTTTGATAATTTCCACATTTTGTGGGATCACCTTTCTTTGGAATGGACACAAATATGGATCTCTTCCAGTCAGTTGGCCAGGTAGTTGTCTTCCAAATTTCTTGGCATAAATGAGTGAGTGCCTCCAGTGCGGCATCCATTTGTTGAAACATCTCAGTGGGTATTCCATCAATTCCTGGAGCCTTGTTCTTCACCACTTCCTTCAGTGCAGCTTTGGCTTCTTCCTTCAATACCATTGGTTCTTCATCATATGCCACCTCCTGAAATGGATGAAGATTGACCAGTTGTTTTTGGTACAGTGACTCTGTGTATTCCTTTCATCTTCTTTTGATGTTCCCTGCATCATTCAATATTTTGCCCATAAATCTTTCAATATTGCAACTCGAGGCTTAAATTTTTTCTTCAGTTCTTGCAGCTTGAGAAATTCCGAGTGTGTTCCTCCCTTTTGGTTTTCTAACTCCAGATCTTTACACATTTCATTATAGTAATTGGCTTTATCTTCTTAGAGCTGCTCTTTGAAATCTTCTGTTCAGCTCTTTTAGCTTGTTATTTCTTCCATTTGCTTCAGCTACTGTCCATTCAAGGGCAAGTTTCAGAGTCTCTTCTGACATTTATTTTGGTCTTTTCTTCCTTTCCTGTCTTTTTAATGACCTCTTGCTTTCTTCATGGATGATATTCTTGATGTCATCCCACAATTCTTCTGATTTTCGGTCATTGATGTTCAATGCATCAAATCTATTCTTTAGATGGTATCTAAATTCAGATGGGATATAATCAAGGTCATGTTTTGGCTTTCGTGGACTTATTTTAATTGTCTTCAGCTGTAGTGAAATTGTTCACTACAGATTAATAAGCACAAGTAAGCCTATGCTTACCTTGCTTCCTGGGTAATCTGCCCCTACCTGGAAATTAGATCATGAAACCAGATGTGTATGTAAGGTTTGTCAGCTATGGCAAGTACCCTGGGCACTACTTGAAGGGGGGCGCCATTGAGTAGTTTCTATTAACCATTGCAATTTCCACGGCCAGCTCTGAGAAACCACTCACCAAGTTAAAACTAATACTTTCACACTTATGAGCCTCCACGGGTCAAGGCAGACTGTGTGATCTTACTGTGCTGAGTATGGAAAGAGAAGAAACCGAAAAAAAAAATCACTTTGAGCACATCATAGACCAATTTTAATCAGTGAAAGCAGGGAAGATGCTGTCGTAATTTTTGTGGAGGGCCATAATGTGTTAAGTAAAGATTAATGAGCTTGCTTTGTATATTTGAGCTGATATGGTAAAGTTATCTAAAGATGGGGGTCAGATGTTTGGACGGACACACACACACACAAACCCACTGCCACTGAGCAGATTCTGGGTCACAGTGACCCCCATTAGGTTTCAGAGGTGGTAAATCTTTATGGAAGTAGACTGCCCAATCTTCCTCCCTCGTGGGGTGGCTGGTGGGTTTGAACCTCCAACCTTCTAGTTAGCAGTCAAATGCCTTAGGCACTGTACCACCAAAGATGTTTGGACAGGGGTGCAATTTCACTCATTGCCATAGGCATGGGGCACCTTCCTCCACCACCACAACTTGTACTAGGAGCCAGCATGGCAAGATTGGGGTGCTCACTGATTGCTCTTCCTTCCACACGGGAGCCTCTGCTTGGCAGAACTTTAAGGCAAAAGTGCAGAGCAACCAGCACAGGTGTTGGCCCAGGGGGAGGCCTCCCCATGCACGCCGGCACTTCTACTTTCACCTTGGCCATCCTGTCCCCAGCAACTGTTTTTTTTAAGGGGAGGGCATATAGGAAAAAAGTCCTCATGTTTGAATGGTAATAGAAAGAGTAAGGGTAAAGGAATTAGAAAACAGTGAAAATTCCCATTTTCTCTGCTAAATCTGTAAAATGGGGCTCTTACCTGGGAGCTTGGGTGGTGTAGTGCCTAAGGCATTTGACTGCTAACCAGAAGGCTCAATGTTCAAACCTACCAGCCACTCCTCGGAAGGAAGATTGGGCAATTTACTTCCGTAGTGATACCACCTCGGAAACCCAAGAAGGGGTTGCTGTGAGTCAGATCTGACTTGATGGCAGTGAGTTTGGTTTTTATATCTTACCTAGGAGCTCTGGTGGTGTAGTGCCTAAAGCATTTGACTGCTAACCAGAAGGCTTGCAGTTCAAGCCTTCCAGTCACTCTACGGAAGGAAGACTGGGCAATCTACTTCCGTAAAGATTTGCCACCTTGGAAATGGAAAGGGGGTTGCTATGAGTTGGAATTGACTCAATGACAGTGAGTTTGTTTTTTTTGGATTATTTTACGTAACAGTGATTTTGTAAAATGTGCCTCACACATTGTCAAACATATGGTGGGTGTTTAACAGATGCTCATCTCTTCCCATTCCTAAACCTCTAGGATCAACACAGTGTGTCCTCATTTAACAACAGCTGGAATATCTGCTCTGTCTCAAAGTACCTGCACTTATCAACTTATCGAGTCAAATGTATTCCTTTCTCCATTGTTTAGAAAAATGCAAAATTTCCCCCAAAAGAGTAATTTATTAATT